GCCACACAGGCACACCCGCTAGAAGGAAACAAACGCACTCAGTACAACACTTTCATTCTATTGGCTGAGAGGTTACCAATGACGGTGCCAAAAGACGGTTCTAAAGCAAGCAGAGAATGTTTCGTAAGTGAGCTGAGAGTTCTGCAAGAGCGTGAGGAGGAAGGTTGGGGTAAACATTACAAGTTTTGAGACAAAAGACATGAAGTCCTGCTTTCAGACTGAAAATGTGTGCTGTCAAATTATGGCAGAAAAATTCCTCCATAAGGACCTGGCTTGACATGAATCCCCACTAAGCCTGGTTTAACCCTTGTAAAGTGGAAAAACCAATATGCTGATCACGGTATGTCAAGCCTAGCTTTATCTTTTATCCAGAGGCCTGCTTCACAAAACCAGGACAGTGGATATTTGAATATCCTGGCTGTATTAAGTTCTGTCAGGTTGGACGGTGAATGTTGGTGGAGCCATTTTCAGATCTCTCCAGAGATGCTCAGTTGGGTTTAGGTCAGGCCTCTGGCTGGGCCAGTCAAGAATGGTCACAGAGTTATTCTGAAGCCACTCCTTTGTTATTCTAGCTGTATGCTTCGGATCATTGTCTTGTTGAAAGGTGAACCTTCGTCCCAGTCTGAGGTCCTGCGCACTTGGAATAGGTTTTCTTCCAGGATATCTGTACTTGGCCGCATTCAACTTTCTTTCAATTGCAACAGTCATCCTGTCCCTGCAGCTGAAAAATACCCCCAAAGCATGATGCTGCCACTGCCATGTTTCACTGTTGGGATTGTATTGGGCAGGTGATCAGCAGTGCCAGGTTAGAATTAACTTCAAAAAGTTCAATATTTGACTCTACAGACAATTGTGTGCCTTTCCTAATCAAGTCCAATCAGTTTAATTAAACATACACTGGACTCCAATGAAGGAGTAAAACCATCTCAAGGAAGATCAGAAGAAATGGACAGCATGTGAGTTAAATATGAGTGTTTGAATACTTATGAGCATGTGATATTTCATTTTTTCTTTTTTAGTAAATTTACAAAAATTTTAGATTTCTGTTTTTTCTGTCAAGGTGGGATGCTGAGTGTACATTCATGAGAAATAATATGAACTTTTTGTTTCATTGCATGGTGACAATGAAACTGAAAAATGTAAAAGGGTCTGAATACTGTCTGTACCCACTGAAAAGCATAGACAAAAGCATGTCTGTGCTTTTCCTGCTTAGTGCTGCTCTTACTCCTCTTTCTGCTCTCTTGATTGGCTAGCAGTCCTTCATTCAAGGTCTTTATTTTGTCATCTCTGGAAGAATGTAAAAGGGAGATATCACAACAAGGTTTAATTCTTGTGATATTTTTTCTTCAGTCGACCCTTAAAAGCAGATGTGATGTTTTTTTGTGTGTGTTCAGGGAACCAGAAGAGGAGATGAAACCTTCCGCAGATCACCACATCAGAGACAACGACAGCGTAGGGGGGAATGATGCCACTGACTTCTCCATTGCCGACATCATACAAAAGTAAAATCAAATGATATATAAATCAAACTATTGTATTTGATCATTTTGGTACTATTGTAACAATAAAAACCCATGCTTGCTTTAACTGCAGTGAGGAAGAAATGGAAGAATTGAAGACCCAGAGGGAAAACTTAAAAGGCAGGATGTGTGTTCCACTATTTGCATAGGCATGTACTAATGATGTAAAAAGAAAAAAATCACAATATAGAACTGCAGAGGTTAGCAAAAGCCAAAAAATAAAAAATAAAAAAGTCATGAATAAGTTAAGACTTCAACTCAAATATTGTTCTTTTTTTTTTATTTATTTGTTTTTGTTTTTTACAAGAAACATACTCTGGCTCAGGACAATGTTAAAATTGCCAGAAGGTGTCAGGGAAACATTCATACAGCATCTTTTGCCTCACAAGGTAAGGGTGTGATGACCAAGGGCATAGGAACAAGTTTATCATTGTGGGGACACATATGGGAAACCTGACAAATCCGTAAATAACTTGAGCAGAAATGTCATAAACAATGGTTTCATCAACACGTTACTTAGTAAAGCATTACTCTAATCTAATAATCTAATATATTAGATTAGAGTAATGCTTTACTAAGTAACAAAACAAGTAGTACTTACTTGTTACTATTTACAATCCAATAATCAGAGACAAAATAACAAGTCATTTTCTATGCTTCTCTCATGCAGTAGTTTAATGCAATGAGGAGAGAGGATGAATGCCACCTAGTGAAGTAACTGAATAATCAAGTTACTTTTTCAAAGTAACTATCCCATCCCTGGTAATAAATTAACTGCAGTGTCTATCATATATATGTAAATATATTTTTATCTAAAGGTGGCAAATTGCCCAAAAAACATCATTTCCATTTCCTCTTGAACAAAATGACTTCAGTCTTTAATCAAGCAAACTCACTTTATCATTTGCCTCAGAACTAGCAAGCTAAATAGTCAGGTAGAAGACACAAGTTTGCTAACAGCATTTTGTATGTATTTTATTGGTCAAGATGCATTTATATATGTTGACTGCCAACTGAACTGAACTGGTTCTGCCTCTTTCTAAAACCTTAACCATAAAAGAGATAGTAACATGCTCCTAAACTTACAAAATATAAAATGGCTTCAGAGATGAACATCTAAGGTACAGCTCCACAGCATAAAAATGGTTTATTTTAGATCCAAACAGGAAGAATAAATTCACTACAGAGAAGCATTTCACTATATAAATGTACAGAATGCTAGTGGGGTGTTTTACTGCAGCTGATAACCTAATCATAACCTAACCATTACCTTTATAACAGATAGGTACGTATTTAGAATAATTTAACATAAAGCATGGATACTTTAACACAGGTGTAGTGCAATAAGTTCACTTGAAGTAATTACTAACAGCAAATGTTAACTACACAACTCTAACATTCTTGCAATCATTTCCAATATTGAACATTTCCACATTTTGGCTACAACTCCTCCAGATAGTATTTATTGAAGATGTGTCAAGTCATTTTTAAACATTTTTAAATGGTATCAATAGCTGTCTTCTAACTGTTCTATTCATTTTCCCTTTCTTATTACGTTTTCTATTGAAATTCACGATTATTCTTATTACTAAAATATCTCAGAAAGTGTCCATTATTAATTCCACGAGCCGTCATCATTCCTGTGTTATCACAGTATTTTTCTGACTGCCTGCTAGCTTAGTGTTGGCTTCCCCTTCCCGGACTCGCATAGTTGTCATAGTTTTTCTGACTCGCCTCGTCTCGTATCCGCTCACTTTTCTCGGACTCTGGTAGGCTGCAATGACGCCATTTATAACCTTGGAGGAGAGGGGCGGGCCAAGTGGGGCTGAGGGATTTCATTGGATAAGCACAATGTCTGTCAATAAAATCTACCAATGGGCTGATGCGGTCAATATAATATAATATAATATAATATTTTTGTTAAATTATGGACCACCAGATATGGACAGTCTGTGCATCAGTCTGTAGTCAGACGGTCAGGGCCGGCATCCTTCAGTCAAACTGAATCCAGCCTTTTTTTTCTGTTCAAATTGTCAACCCACCACAGTGCCGGGTGCGTCGCTCTGATTTACACGTCACTTCATACTTTAACCCATAGACATAATATAATATATATATATATATATATATATATATATATATATATATATATTATATAATAATATAATCCTTATATTATGTCTATGCTTTTACCCGCCAGTGGCGGATGCTAATTTCCATCTCTGCTATGAACATTCAATTCTAATAAGTTACCTGGACTTTGTGAATGAAAAGTCTGACTCTACTTGAGCTTTGTTAATTTAGAAAGAGGTTGTTTTTTTGTTGTTGTTTTTTTCAGTTTTGGAATGTACTTTGACAATACTGCATCCAAGTACAAGTCCAAACTGGCTTATCGGATCAAAATCATGGCTTTCTATGAGGAGGTTGGGTAATAACAAAAAAATAAATAAATCAAATAAATTTTGATGAATTCTGCCCTATTTATCTTGAGATTATATCCCAGTGGTCATAAATATGGCCAGAAGGACCATATTTGCATAGATATGTTTTTCTTGCATGCCAAAAACAAAATCCATTGCAGTTTTTATGGAATATACAACTTTCCTGTAAAGTGAGAACCCTGTCAACACAGTTAAAAAATGTTTTATGCAATATTCAGTTTGATTCAAATTCAAATAAAAAATATTTCATTAATCCCAAAGGGAAATTAAATAATAAATAAATGCATAAATAAATACAGTGACATGTAAACAAAATGACAATGACTGACTTGAGTACATAGTGAGGTAAACAGTCTCTGTCCTTGTCAGATAGTTATTTACACACTTTTATCATCAGTTAAGATAGTTTGACCACTTTTCTGAGAAATGCATGGAGAGAAGAATTCCTTATAGCTGTGTGTGTGTGTGTGTGTGTGTGTGTGTGTCCATAAGTGTGTCTAATAAGTTGTTTCTCACCAGTTTTATCACATTGGCACTGCAGCCAGCAATGGAACTGGCTGCAGTGGTGGTTAAAATTTACAGTGGCTTGCAAAAGTAGTCATACCCCTTTTCCATACTTTGTCTGTCACATTACAACCACAAACATAAATATATTTCATCAGAATTTAATGTGAAAAACCAACATGAAGTGGTATACAATTGTGAAGTAGAAAGAAAATGATACACGATTGAAAAAAATGTTTACAAATAAAAACCTTAAAAGTGCATAGAGCAAAAGTATTCAGGCCCCCTGAACTTTGTGGAACCACCTTTTGCTGCTATTTCAGCTGCAAGTCAGTTAGTTTGTTTCTACCAGTTTTGTACATCTGGTGACTGAAACTTTTGCTCAATCTTCTTTGCCAAACAGTTGAAGCTCAGTCAGATTAGATGGAGAATGTTTGCGTGAACAGTAGTTTTCAGATCTATCCACAGATTTTCGATTAGGGTTAAGTCTGGACTTTGACTGGGCCATGAATATGTTTTGTTTTAAATCATTCTATTGTAGCCTGGCTTCATGTTTAGGGTGGTTGTCCTGCTGGAAGCTGAACCTCCGCCCCAGTCTCAAGTCTTTTTCAGACTCCAACAGGTTCTTCCCAACATTGCTCTGTATTTTGCTCCATCCATCTTCACACCAACTCTAACCATCTTCACTGTCCTTGCTGAAGAGAAGCACCCCGAGAGCATGATGCTGCCACCACTATATTTGACAGTGGGGATGGTGTGTTCAGAGTGATGTGCAGTGTTAGTTCTCCATCGCCACAGCATTTTGCATTTTGGCCAAAATTTTCAATTTTGTTGTGATCTGACCACAGCTCCTTCTTCCACATGTATACTTATGATTTTCTTTAACAATGACTTCTTCTTACCACTCCTCCATATAGACCACATATGTGTTGTGATGACTAATAGTTGTTCTGTGGACAGATTCCCCCTGAGCTGAGGATGATCTGGTCCAGAGTCACCATGGGCCTCTTGGCTGCATCTTTGATCAGACCTCTGCTTGTTAAGCCTGGGAATTTAGGTAGACAGCCTTGTCTTGTAGGTTTACAGTTGGGTCAGACTCTTTCTTGATAAATCTTTCTCTAGCCTAAGTCTTCTTTAAACGTCTCTACAGCTTTCTCCCCGACATGTCTGCTGTGTTTCTTTGACTTCATGATGTTGTTTGCTCCCCAATATTTCTCCAAACCTCTGAGGTGTCAGAGCAGCTGGATTTGTTCTGACATTAGATCACACACAGGTGGATTATGTTTAGTCATTAGCAGTCATCAGGCAACTTCTGAAGGCAATTGGTTGCACTCAAAGGACAGGAATACTTTTGCACACTACACTTTTCAGTATTTTCTTTGTAAAAGTTTTTTGAATCATGATTAATTTTCCTTCTACTTTACAATAAAACACTTTGTATTGGTCTTTCACATAAAATTTTATTGAACTATATTTGATTGTTGTAATGTGACAATATATGCAAAAATTCAAGGAGTATGAACACTTTTACAAGACACTGTAGCTTTCCATCATTAGTGCATGAAGGTCATGGACCATAGTCTAAAGAAAACACCACTCCGAATAATATAGAATATTAGTAATATTATTCAGTTATGTTGTTGGCTGCAATTATTTTTTGTTGGTTGGCACTGACTTGACTTGTTGTGTGTCTTGCTTCTTTTTCAACCAGACTCTATGCAGACTAATTCCAAAAGACCGTTTATCGTGTCAAGGTGGAGGCAGTTTTGGTATGCGCCTGTGACCTCATTCCTGGGCAATGTGCTGATGTACTTCCTGTTCCTTTGCCTGTTTGCCTATGTTCTGTTGGTGGACTTCAAAAGTCCTCCCCCGGACGGCCCCTCCTCTCTGGAATTTGTGCTTTACTTTTGGGTCTTCACATTAGTATGTGAAGAGATCCGACAGGTTGGTTATTTCCACACAAATTTGTCTACACTGACACACAGTATGCGTTTACTTCTTAAAACCATTACAGCTAGAAAATTGTGGAAAATAATATTTATTTATTATAATGGTGTCTTTCTAATATCATTATACCCCTTAAACTTTTTCACATTTTGTGCCATTATCAGCAAATAAGACATTATTGAACTAACAGCATTATGAAGACCAAGAGATATCACAGACAAATCAAGGAGAAAGTTGCAGAGAAGTTTAAAACAATCAATCAAATTTTATTTGTACAGCACATTTCAGCAGCAAGGCATTTCAAAGTGCTTTACATCATAACAAACACTAAAACACAAAGTCATGCAACATAGAATCAACAATCAAAACATTACATTAAGTCAAATACCATCATTAAATTTGTAATTGATTACATTTCAAATACAACTCTAAACAGGTGGGTTTTAAGTCGAGATTTAAAGGCACTCAATGTTTCAGCTGTTTTACAGTTTTCTGGAAGTTTGTTCCACATTTATGGTGCATAGAAACTGAATGCTGCTTCTCCTCATTTGGTTCTGGTTCTGGGGATGCAGAGCAGAACCAGAACCAGAAGATCTGAGGGGTCTAGACGGTTGGTACAGCAATAACAGATCTTTAATGTATTGTGGTGCTAAACCGTTCAGTGATTTATAAAATAACAACAGTATTTTAAAGTCTATTCTCTGAGCTACAGGGAGCCAGTGTAGGGACTTTAAAACTGGTGTTATGGCTCTAAATTATGGAGCTTCAAAGATGACATGGAGAGAAAAAAAAAGCAATCCCGACTTACTTTCTTGAGATGCCGAGAAACTTTTTGAAAAACCTGCATTCCTTTTTTGGATTAAAGGGCTGTTTATGCACTTTCTGCAAATGTATTGGTGGAGTCTAAAGAGACATGAAGGATGGTTTAAAACATTTCCTCTGGTCTAGAAATGTCCTAGATGACGATATTATGCTAAGAGACACAAAGCTGAAGTTGGTTTCTGATTGCAGCTTCCTATTCATCAAATTGCTAAAGGGCGATGGCACCTATTTTTTCAGTATCGTCAGTATCTTTCATCTACTCTAGTTAATTACAACATTTAGATCCTTCAAACCTTGACTAGAAGGGCGATTTCAGCACTTTATTTGCATCTGGACTGCATGAGCACTGATCTCCTCCTCCTCTGAAATTAGCATTATTTTGCTGTTTTCCACTTTTGACTTTCTGTTTTCTCTCACTGTTTTTATATTCAGTGTAGCAAAAACTGCTCTTGATTTCATTTGATCTCTTTTACCTTCCAAAGGGGGGCATCAACTGAGATGCTTTCAACAATTTGTATTTTCTTTCTTATTCTATTAACTTTTTGCATGTTCAGTTTTTTATTAATAAAAATGAAAAACTGTAAGCTAAAGACAAATGTAAGTGATTACTGGGTTTCCTTAGCTTAGTTCTAAGGAAACCCAGCAAAATGCATTGAGTCACTGGTTTGCAAACTTCAACCCTCTTGGGCCAGCAGGTAGTGACAGTAGAAAATGGAATGACATGCATTCAGGGGCAATAAAACAGAGTAAAGTCAGAAAAAATAAATATTTGCAAAGGTAGCTTAGTATGTCCACCAATATGAGAAGTCTGCAGTCAGTTTTGGACATAACACAGGCATCCATAAATGCGCTGGAAATCACAAAATCACTAACCAGGACTGAGGCAATGGAACAAACTGAGCGTGGCCAAATAGAGGAGCGGTAAGAGAATTAAAGTGACTGAAGCAATGTGAGCATCCAAAAATAATCATGTATACAGAAAAATAATTCAATTGAATCATAACCAAATGTTTTATTGTTTTTTTTTTGAGTGAAGAGCTATGAAGCTCTCATTCATAGTTGAATGAGAGCTTCTCATTCAACTATGCAAAGAAATAGATTGACGTTTCAATCTCTAAAATTAAATAAAAGCTGTGAAATAAAAATGTTTCCAAGTTTGAACATTTTTATGGTTTTAACTGGAACTTCTTACACTAACACAAAATGGCCTATTTTGACTCTTCATTCTCCTCAAATTATTTAGTCAGTACATAATTTTGTCCATATTTGAAGTGTCCACCTGTTGTAGTTTTGGAGCTGAAGCAGTTGTAGTGTGAACCATGTGCATAAAAAGTAATGAAATCGCCCTTTATTGCAGTTTCTCAAATCACAAACTTGGCTTAAATATTCTGCTATTAGAGAAGAAAAATTTAGTCCAAGTTTAAATAATCTAGGTGTTGTTGTAGTTTTTTTTAACTAGAGTAGGTAAAACCTACAAAAGGTAGTGAAAAAATATGTGAAATCACCCTTTAGCCATTTCCTGAATAGGAACCTGCAATCGGCATCCAACTTCAGCTTTGTGTCTCTTAGGATAATATCCTCATCAGAGGCATCTCTAGACAGTAGAAACTGTTGTAGATTGTGCTCCATGTATCTCATTTAGACTCCACCACCACTACCAGCTTTGCAGAAACTGTGTAAACAGCTTTTCCACCCAAAAAAGGAATGCACAATTTTTCAAAAAGTTTCTCGGGCTCCTTAATAAATAGTGCTCTTAATCGATTAAAACAGACTAATCAGATTAATCATACTCTGACACTGTGATTAATCACTATGCCTAACTGCATCTTCTCAATGTAGACTTTCAATTCCAGTTTACTGTTGCATTTACTGTGACAGTATATGTGCACATATTATGGGTAACATAATGTCAGACACAGGACTAGATGAGTTATTATTCAGCGTTAGCTTATGCTAAATGACAAATTATGTTCATGCCGAACAACAATACAAAACATGCAAGACATATGACGGTGATGTACTTGCTGTCCCTTTAAAAGTATTGGAACGGCAAGGCAAATTCCTTTGTTTTTGTTGTACACTGAAGACAATTAATTTTAACAACAAAAGATGAGCATGAGACAAGAGTTCAAAACATCAGGTTTTATTTCTTGGTATTTACATGTAGATGTGTTAAGTAAATTAGGATATCTCACCATTTGTATTACACCACAGCATTCATAGATGAGCAGAAGTAAAGGAACAAATAAACTTAACATTTGGTGGCATAACCCTTACTTGCAATGACTGTCTAACACCTGTGACCCACTGACATCACCAAACTGTTCTTTTTTGTGATGCTACTCCAGGCTTTTACCGCAGCTTCTTTCAGTTCTTTTTTTTAAGGTTTTGTTGGCTCTAGTGGCCTTTATTTGAAAGTAGTTAGACAGGAAAGAGGGTTATGAGACAGGGGGAAGACGTGCAGCAAATGTCACCAGGCCAGGAATCAAACCTGTGACCACTGCCATGAGGACTAAGGCCTCAGTAGATCGTGCTTTGCCCCTGCGCCACCACAGAAGCCTTTCAGTTCTTTTTTGCGGGAGTTCTCCCTTCAGCCTCCTCTTCAGGAGGTGAAATGCATTCTCTTTTCTTTTCACCTCCTGGTTAAGGTCATGTGATTGACTTGGCCAGTCTAAAGCCTTCCACATTTTTCTTCTGATGAAGTCCTTTGTTTTGTTGGCAGTATATTTTGGGTTATTGTCCTGCTGCATGATAAAATTCCTCCTGATTACTTGGGATGTATTTCTCTGTAAATCAGCAAAATGTTAGGGTTAGGGTACCATTATCAGTTACATCAGCAATAAAAAATGAATGAGCTGTTCCAGAAGCAGCCATGCACACCCAAGCCACCAAACTGAGGCTCACAGATGAGCTTGTGTGCTTCCGATCCAAAGCAGTTCGGCAGTTCTTCTCTTTCTCCACACTTTGACCTTTCCATCACTTTGGTGGAGATTAATATTTGTCTCATTAGTTCATAAGATTGTGTTCAGGAACTTTTCTGGCTCATCTCTGTACTTCTTTGCAAATTGTGATCCAGCCTTCAGATTCTTACTACTGACAAGTGGTTTGCATCTTTGGGTGTAATCTCTATATTTTTGCTCTTGGAGTCTTCTTTGAACAGAGGCTTGTGATACCTTCACTCCTACACTCATTGGTGATGTCTCCTTTCAATTTGATTAATAGGAGCTACACCACTAAAACTCCACTCTAGGTTTCCGTGGCTACCTGCAAAAATGGACCAGTGATGTCATATGTGTGTCATATGTGTGCCAATGAGCAAGCATGACTTGTGCCATCAGGTGATAGAACTTTCTGGTCTAACTGTGCTAGTGGTATAGTTGAAGTAACTACAGCTGTGTGTAAGGCTTCTTTGTTCGAAATATGTGCAACAAAGGTAAAAAGTGATATTTTTCCAAATAAAAGATTTAAAAAAATAAAATACTCCAACATACTGCACATGGAAGAGAAAAGCTGCATTTTGCACTCCTGCTCCAGCAAATGCTCCCAACACCCCTGTCAAAAACCCACTAATCTGTCGACAGGACAACTACTAAAAGGGACTTTTGTTAGCTTAACACATTAATGTGTTTAATTTTAAATTTAAGTGTTTAGGGGTAGGAGTTTATAAGTTCTCACTTCTTCCTACCCCATTTTGAGCATGATATGTTAACTGAAACAAAAAAATCTGTATTTTCTCTTCTTTCTTATGCACTTCTTGTTACTGTGCACTATTTTATTTTATATTTGTATCATGTTCGAATAAAATTTCATTTCATTTCATTTCATAAATGAACCAATCACATGATGGATTTAATCCCTGCTCTGTTCTTTGTTCACAGACCTCTTTGGGGGGCAGTTTATTTTTGCTCCAAAGGATGAAGAAGTATATTCAGGATCACTGGAACAAGTGTGACCTCACAGCTATTCTTCTTTTTCTTTTGGCTCTAATCTGCAGGTGATTGTTCTAACAAGGCAAGCAAGGCAACTGCTGGAAGTGTTTTAGCTATATTTGCAGAAGGACTTTAAAGTCCTTGACAGGACAGGATTTTTTTGTCCAGATGTATTCCTTTTGTTCCCAGCCCACGTCTGTCTGTAATAATGAGCGCAACTGTCCACAAGTTACAATGCACAGCACCAGTAAACAGGGATGTGCCAATTGGCCTGTTGTGATAAACAATAAATTATTTAGTCGCACATAAACTAAAATGAGCTTGATAATAATCGCTTGTTTGTTTTTGTTGTGTCTTTCTCTCTTTCTACTTAAGAGACTGCATGACAAAAAGCTTCACTCTTCTAGTTAGTCCTCTCCTCTCATTTCCAAGAGCACTCAGAAACAATAACGGCTCAACACACGGGGAGCTAAGATTATCAGTTTTCCTCCACTCGGGGTGAACCCAAACACAGGACACGATAGCAATGACGGCGACAAAAGTTGAACAATTTTCAACTTTCTTGTATAGCATTGCTAGCCTGTGTGCACGTGTACGAACTCAAAATTTCACATGCACAAATTATGCTGTTCGCTTAGCATGAAAGTTGTTCAGACTTATTTTATTACATTATTTCTTTATTTGTTTATAGTTACTTTATTGGTAAGAGACTATTATGTCACTGCTCGAACTCCATAGGAAATGAATATAAAGTAAGGAGAGCGGTGCTGACTCCCATCACCATGTCAGTGCCAGAAGACAGTTACAATTAGAGGTGTTTAATTGACAAACTACAGAAGGCCAGTGCAAAATAGTGACACTAAAAGTTTGCTTGTAGAGTTTGATGATACCCTTTTAATCTAATTGAAAAACCAGCCTTTTGAAAAATGATGCAAACATTTACACAGTAGTGAGTTTACACTTGTTTTCCCACAAAGGTTCTAACTGGTAGTATTGCCTATTTGAGCCCAATAATGAATATATTTTGAAGATAAGTTTGTTTACAAAAAGCTCATAATCCAATTCAATTAGTTTTGGATATTTAGAATGTGTTCTTTAGAAATTAGTTTATTGATCTTTGAAAGGTTCATTGTTATGCTATTTTATGTTATTAGTAAACAATGGTCTTAAAACAACAACATTATTGCTTATTGTAATATTTTCTGGGGCAATTAATTGCCCAGCAAAATCTGTTATTGTGACGGGCCTATTCGTCAAACAGAATTGGGTGGCTAATTTCTCAATAATTTTTGTAATGCTCTGACCTGTCAATACAAATTTGTTTGCTGTTTCTTTAAGAACAGCCTTAAAAAGTCAAAAGTCAAATTAAACACATTAGGAGCGAAGGCAACATCATCTTGTGTGAGTGAGTAAGCAATTCCTGTAAATAGCCTTTTATTATTATTGTCAAAGATAAAGTTGGAGGGAACATCTTAAACTGGTTTAAGAATTCTATATTAGCAAGGAATGTGGTTTGCAAAGAGAATTTCAAACACAAAGAGTTGTTTGCATGTTGGATAAATTTTTTTCTTTCAAGAATAACCCCTTGAGATGTACCGTCTCATTTTTGTAGGGGTAAAACATAAATAAAATCCACAATAATACAAATCATAATAAGTAATAAACATGTGAACAGAGACTCTCACACCATGCTCAATGCTTCCCCCAAACCTAGTCAGTCAGTATATAAAATAATAATTATACATATCAATTGAAACCAATTATATGATACATGCACTCAACATCCAGACACAAAAGAAGAAAAATAAAAATGAATTTTTGTTCTAATTCAAAGCAGCAGCAAGTTGTTTGATGGGGGTAGTAGAGACAAATCTAAGTGACGAAGGCAAGTTATTCCAATCTGATGAAGCTTTAAACTGAAATGCAGGACATTTAATTTCGTTCCTAATTCTTGGTGTGAAAAAAAATGCTAACCATTATTTCTCAGGCTTCATGGTGAACTAAAGGGGATTAAGTATTGTTTTGAATACAGAGGAGAATTAAAATAGATACATTTAAAAATAAATAGCAACCAATGACTGCGACAGGCTGGCGATCTGTCCAGGGTGATCCTGCCTCTCGCCCGGAACGTTAGCTGGAGATAGGCACCAATGCCTCCTGACCCCTCTAGGGACAAGGGTGTAGAGAAGATGGATGGATGGATGGATGGATGGATGGATGGATGGATGGATGGATGGATGGATGGATGGATGGATGGATGGATGTCAATGAAATTTTGTTCTCGTCTTGGGAGCTAATCAGTTCAAGGACTGTATGATAAGTCCTGTATGAACCTAAGTTCTTTTTAAATGCTTTACTGATATTGAAACTCTCATTTTGTGTCGTCTTCTTCACCAGCGACTGTCTACACCAAGGGTACTCAAAATTAAACCTTGAAGGTCCACAAAGACATTTTTAAAGTAGTTAAAGATTCATTTTTCATAGATGGTCAAGAGACAAACCAGAAACTGTTATATTCAAAAGTTTCTTTTCACACAAAATAATAAACATATAAAAACAAAGTGTAATTTTAAGTTTTATATAAATTTTCATACTTAAACTTCTGCAAAAAAAGAAAATGTGAGGAGGAGGCTTTAAAGACATTTTAAAATGAATACAAATGCAAAAAGAGGGTGAGAAGGTGGATTAATTCTAAGGTGATTCAAGGAACTTGCTTACCTGTAGGACCCACCCTACTCTGAGTGAGCACTCCTTTGCTTTGAGTTATTGAGGAAAGGCATTTTCAAAATACCATAGGAGGTCAAAGGATTGCTCAAACATGCATGAAGGAATCAAGGCTACACTGTTGCCTTGCATGTTGCCTTGCACTGTAATGCTCTGACCTGCCGATACATCTGTCTTCTTTATGTTGGACTGTAATATAACTTTATTGCCTTGAGGAAAGTAAGACTAATAACTATTTTTTTTGTAGAATGTTTCCTTGGTCATTCAATGTTGGACGAGCTGTTATGGCCATAGACTACATGGTCTTTACACTTCGTCTGATCCATATCTTTGCCATCCACAAGCAACTTGGACCCAAAATCATCATTCTTGGAAAAATGGTAATGGAACTGCTCACAAAACACCTAATTTAAATCATGGTTGTAATTAGAAAAATCAACTATATCAGAGTATTTACAAAAAGGTCAAAAGCAGTCTGACTTTAGGGTTCTCAATAAGCATGCTGTATGTTTTATGCATAAAAACACAGAACAAATATGGCCAATTTGAAAGGCTGTGTCACACGTGAAAAAAAAAACTAAACCCACAAAATGTCTTTTGGACAGATGAGACCAAAGGGTGAATGTTTGTCTACGATACTTGCACAGCTCCACACAAGGCATATCAGCAAATCTCATACTGTCCAGCATGGTTCTGGAGTTTATTTCATTGCAACTGGGTCCAGAAACCTTACAGTTTAATGGACTTTGCTATAAATTAAAGTATATCAATTCCAATTGTTAAGGAAGAAATATCTAAATTGGTTAACTTTGGAAAAAGTCTGGCTCTCTCTTCCTCTGGATCCCAGGTCCTCTCGGCGGGCCACGTGTGGCCACAAGGAAAACAACAACAATGCATGTTGACGTCACAGAATTACAGAGTTTAATCCAATATAAGACAATGCATAGACTTACACCAGAAACTGCAGAACAACGGAGACATACATTCATTTACCTGACAGACTTGGAAAAGAAGGAAAGAAAGAAAAGCAAAGACGTGCAAAGACTTCTTTGGAGAGTTGCCAGAGCAAATCTGATTTGTTACTTCTGTGTAGAAAGTTTTATCTTTTCTTTAATTTATTCAAATAAGGCGTATCTTTGCTCATCCAACCAGGAGCTATCTCTGACCCTCTCTCAAGCCAGAAACCCCCGTCGTGTTTACGGCCTTTCACAAATGAGTGTGAAAAGCTGGAACTTCTCCTGATTGTTTTCTCACACAGACAAAAGGCAGTTCAAACGATCCTAGCAAACCATGTGCTGTAACTACAGGTAACATAAAGGTCAAAAAATCAGAATACATGACTAATTTCAAAACCACAATTAGGCCATTTGAATCAAGACATGTTAAGTTTTAAAACTAGCTTATTTTAAATTTATTTTCTTAACACAATCTATTTAGTTGCTAAAGTTTGATAAGGACTCAATTCTGATAATTATAACTTATAATATGTAAAAAATGTCTTCCAATGGTAGATTATTTCACTTGCAGTCTTTCATCAGTATTAAGGGTTTACTGACTCAAAGCAAGTTTGTATATTATGCTAAAAAGTTACTTGCAAGTTAGTTTTGTCTTACTTCAATAGTACCAAGATATTTACACCAGAATCTAAAACAAAAATACTTAAAAAATGTCTTTTTTTTGCAGTGCATAATGTGGGCCTTATTTGCATGCATGTATTACCTCCTGATGAAATCCCTCACTGTAACTCCAGCAATCTTCCTCAACCATCTATTTTTGTTTTTCACAGGTGAAAGATGTTTTCTTTTTCCTTTTCTTCCTGGGTGTTTGGCTGATGGCCTATGGCGTTGCCCATCAGGCACTCCTCTTTTCATATGACCCCCGGTCTAAGTGGATTTTCCGCAGAGTGTTCTACAGGCCATACATGCACATATTTGGACAAATCCCTGTTCATGAAATGGATAGTAAGTATTTTTTATATAATTATGACATTTATTATGTGATCATATTGTATTTTCTGTCATTCTATCTTATAATGAAATACATTTTTCTAAATTACTACTGTCAAACTAAAAATGAAAGATGTGTCAAGTATATGAATATTAGCTCCTATCCAGCAAAATGGTGCAGGTACAATGTTGACATTTTAAACTAGCTATTAGCAATTAGAAAGGTAACATTTGTAAAACAGTAGCATTGTATCCCTACAAATAATTCAACCTTTAGCTTAAGAATGAGAATTTCAAACAATCACCTGACAATGTTCTTAAATGTTTTATGACTTGACTTTAACTTACATAAATTCTTTACATGAATTTTGACAGATATTCTCCCAAAAGTTATTTAGATTGCAAAAATGCTTGTTTACGCTGTTGTCCAGGTTGAAGCTAACCTGATATGTTAGCTTCTCTTTGACTTGTCATTATATTTTTGAGATTCCTATGTCACACAAAGATTAACTAGAAAAAGCAACTTGAAGAACTAGATATCAGTGTCACTAAATGACAGTCATTTTCTAACATTCCTCTGATGTTCTTCATTCAAGCCGACAAACTGGAAGAACTGAGCTGCACATATAACCATTCAGAAATTGAGGCAGGAGCAGAACCCTGCATGAGTACCTATGCAAACTGGCTGGTTGTAATCCTCCTTGTTATCTATCTGCTGTTTACCAACATAGTGCTGGTCAACCTACTCATTGCCATGTTCAGGTACCCAAACATTATACATCTGTTCATTGTTCTATAAGTGTAGGATCTATTTTCCTCCATGTTTTGATGTTCTATCTGCAGCTACACCTTTTCCAAAGTTCAGGGGCACAGTGACATCTACTGGAAATTTCAGCGTTACAACCTCATTGTGGAGTACCACTACAGACCCTGTCTGGCACCACCATTCATCATCTTCTCCCATCTTCACATTCTTATCAAGAGACACATCCGTCAAATTCCTTCTGCCAAGAGTCAGCACTTTGGTGAGAAATGGGAAAGTAGAAAACAGGCAACATGTCTGAAATGGACTAATATCTAACTGCATAAAGAGAGGTTCCTAAAAGTTAGACTTGTGTTGAATATCAGGTTCCTGCATTGGCATGTATTGCAGGTGAGATGTCTTCATCTCCTTGTATTTACCAGGTAAAAGACAGGTTATCATACTTTGCATGTGAACAAAAGTTAAATTCTGGTGTCATTTAACCAGACACAAACATTACTCCCTATAAGTTTCCTTTAACAATGCTTTTCTTCTTGTCAGGTTTGTGGAATGCACAACTAATAGTTATCATGTGAGCTGATTCTCCCACCTATCTTCAGCTCCTCCAGAATTATCATAATCCTCTAATAGCTGATTCTTTGATTAATGTTCTCTTTGCTCAGCCAGACAGTTTAGGTTGACATCTACGTCTGGGTAGGTCTGCAGTTGGTCTATGCTCTTTCCATGTTCAGATGATGTATTGAACAGAGTGCTGTGAAATATTCAAAGCTTGGAATATTGTTTTAAAAGGATCCAGGACTAGTTGAACATGTTGGACTAAATATGTTGCAATTTTCCTATTACCTAAAAATGGCTGTTTGTGATACGCCAAAATACATAGCTACTTTTAAAAAATGTACATCTTTTGATATATTTTTCACCCATAGAAGTCGCCATTTTTTTTACTGATGGGTTGATGATGCGTTTTGGTCCATTCTGTACTGGAGTCTACAGGGTAAACACAGGAGGGCTAACTTTACCCGAGTGGTTGTTTATCATATTGCGTTTGACTGGTGTGATTTTAGATAAAGCCACACTGTGTCACTATTGGCTGTAATTAAAAAAATAAATAAATAAATAAAGATTTAGGCAAATCTGGACAATTATACCTACACATGAAAGAAAGGAGAGCGCAGTGCGAGAGCCAGAGTGGAACACAACTTCCGAAGGACTTAATCTGTACCCTGGACATTTCTCCACAACACTTTGAGTCATTTATATCAGCAGAACTAAGAACGGCTCTAACAGGTTATTGTTACCTTCACAAGCTAAAAATAAATGCCATGCTGCTGCTGAGACAGGAAAAGCTGGATGCTCTTTGAGATGCTAACAGGAGACATACTGCTGTACTGACATCACCGATCCGACTGGACCCAAGTGGTGGTTGCTGTTACCACCACACCAAACTCTATACAGCATAGATGTTGCCGAACCGGACACAGCACTACAGACCCTGGGAGAAACGTCAAAGACAAGCAGCGCTAATGGAGCTAGAACACCGGTACTGAATGTGAAACCACTACCAACACTGAACGAAGTGTTAGTTCAGCAACAACCAGACACAGAGCTATAGAAGTACTTACCAGATCACGCAGTCCGACCAGAGTGTCATTCATTGTTTCATTTACGAAGCTGAATGAAGTAAGTCCTCAGAAGCAGCAAAGCACCAGCTGCTACTGCCAACTCTGTCCTCTTCCTCTGTGAGGTCCTCCTCCTCATCATCACCTCTTGTTATTTCTGTGTTCCGATTTATGTCAGTGCACTCCGGTTCAAATTAAAAAAGCTTCATAACTTTACTCATCACTGTTTTGACTGGAGGAGCCAGGCAGTTGGACCATTACACATATTTATCCAGAATGCATTGCAGCGTGAACAACATGGCGACATTCTTGTGAAAATATTTTATTCAAATTTATAAAACTAAATAACATATAAAATAAATATTTCCCAAATAAGGTCTATTTTTATAGCTAATCGTGGATCCCTTTAAATTTTCCCATAACTTTGTCCCTGATCTGTCTGAGGTCAGAAACAGAACATCTGCAGCCATTCTCAGATTAAATTGTACACAGCTGGATGGTGTTTAAAAGTATGAACACCTTTTTTTAAGGCCCTATTAGAAAAGCAGTATCATTTCACACCATACTTATGATTCAACATGTCCACTCTCTTCTTACCACTGTTTAGCTGCACTTACTGATTTCTTTTATACTTAGCTATGGAGCTGCAAGGCAGGAAGGCAAGCCGTCTGAATACATGGGAGGCTGTGCAAAAAGAGAACCTCTTGTCTGCTCAGAATAAGCAGCAGAGAGAGAGTGACACATCACGACTTCAGCGGACTTCTGTTAAGTAAGTTGTCGCTTGGATTAAAATATAAACATGTAAGAGCTGATCATCAGTTTCATCACATTTCAGTTTAACAGGATAACTTGTGAAAAATTATAAACACATTTGGTTCAAATGATCACTAAAACAGAATTACCTGGATGGTTCATCCATATTTCAGGAACATGATTTGAAAAGAAAGAGTGGTTATTTAATTTTTGTTGTGAAACATAAATTATAAATTGGAATATGACATTTTTATCACAGCAGGGATAAAAGAGAGAGATTTTTCAAGATTTAATATTCTTATAAAATTACGATAAGCAAAGCAAAAAGACCCTGAAAAAGAAAAATTGTCCTGTTTTTTCATATTCTGACACCAGATTAGTTCATCAATGCAAGAACTCTAGACAACACACTGTCTGCCAGAATTGTTCTATGCATTGCTCTTTGAGGCTCCATGACCTGAGATTGGTTTAATATTCAATAATAATTAAATCTTTGTATGCTTATCTATGGAAAAGATTTACAACAGAAAATTTTAGATTCTCTTTCATAGCATTGTTTCGTGTCTCATTATGGGAACGCTCTGGGCGTAACCTCATCAGAAGCTCCTATTACACTCCACCAGCCCTGATTGGCTGGGAATAAGTCTGTCAGTGCCAGGTAGAGAGGGGGCATGTCCCACCCCCTACCTATATAATAGGACTTGCCCTGCACAGACAGGTCATTCAAAAACCTCTTCTCCCTACGAGCAGAAGTCCCGACTGGTTTTCTCTCTTTCACCTGACGTTCTGGAACCTAGCTTAACTGTCCATAGATACGAGTGCGAACTCGATCGCTGGGCGCTTCGTTCCAGACTGGTAGTGTATACCGGAAGAAAACTAGCATTCAGTCTGTTGCAAAACAGCCCTGTTAGCTGTGAAAACTGTGTTGAGTAGAAATACGCTTCACTGTTTTTCACTCGAGTAGCAATACTCCATTGGTAGCAATACCGGTAGAAGTAGCGATACTTCACACAAGCTATTGTTTTGCTGTGCTAGCTATCAGCAGGGCAAGCCGCAACACTCCCTGACACCTAGCCATATTAGGCTAGCCAGTTTAGCTGTCACTAGCTTCACTGTAGCTTCACAGAAGTCGTCCCTGCAATTAGCATGGACGCCGGAAAGGCTGACGCTAAAGCCGACGAAAAACCACGAGCTTGCCCATGTGGAAATAAAATTTTGAGTTGGGACACTCACCAAATGTGTGTGACATGTCTCGGCTTAAGGCATGCCCAAGCAGCCATCGAGTCATTGGAGGAGTGCTCACATTGTAGCCGGCTGGATGTGAGCGGACATAGCTTCACAGCTTGCCCCATGGCAGGTGATGATGACGGAGACTCGGATGCAGGTTCTGAGCTTCTCATCACCGACGGAGATGAGGATGATGAACCGCCTCTGGTGCTCCAAGGTCGGGTTACAAAACCCACACCTTCGGGTGTCAGCCAGGCCGGTGATGGTGACTCTTCTTCGTCTGCCTTGGATGTGGACCTGCATGACGTGTGTAAACACGCCGCAGCAAAACTTAATATCCAGTGGCCCAAAGTTCAGGCTGAAGCAGTAAGACCACGTTTCGATTGCAAAAAGCTGCCAAAAGCCAAGAGAACGGGAAAGTAGTTCCTGCCTTTCTTCCCTGAGTTGCTGGAGGGATTTTCAGTTTCCTGGCGCAACAAACCGTACAAGCACCCAGTGGCAGGTGGCTCGGTTCTAGACTGCGAGGGAATGGATGACCACGGTCTCCACCAAATGCCTCGAGTCGAGCCAGCGGTGGCAGCGCACCTTCGCCCAAAAGCTTCGATGTCCTCGGGTGGGTCGGTTCCATCCCTGCTTCACCAGACGCTACACTGTGGGAAGAAGTGTGTATCATCACTGATCACTGTCTCCATCTCCATAAAGTAGCGATCCAGGCTATGGGGCTCTTGGTTCTACAGTAAAGGGCTAGATGGTTAAACTTAACCACGCCTTCCATCAGGGGAAAGGAGGACCTCCTCGATACCCCCATTACCCCTGTTTGGTGCAGCTGTTACTTCTATGCAAAAGAGGTGTGAGGAAAAGAAAAGTGACGAGGCTTTAAAGCTGTGTCTCTCAAGACGGGGACCGGTGCACAAAGCCACCGCTCCCACATCCCAGCGCCAAACCTTCACCCAGGCTGAGGCGCGTTTGCCTCCCACTTTCAGAATCCCTAAGCTGCCGAAGACCCAGACGGCCGCTAATCCTCCTCCGAAAGGCGCTGCTGTTAAGGGCTCGTGGCCGAAGAAACCCAAGGCCGCTTGCCTGGATCAGCTGCCACCCACGTCTACTCAGATGGTGAGGAGGAGGAAACGTTTGGCCTGACAGCTTTTTGGAAGACAGAGAGTGAGCTGGACTCGTTTTCAGACACGGCTCCGTTACCGAGCCCTTTCATAGAGTTCAGCGAAGTTCGGCTAACAAACGAGGGGATGTTCGAGCCCACTCAGCGCGCACGAAACGGGGACCGTGTTCAGTTCAGGATGTCCCGCATTGGGCCCAGTTTATGTCCCACAAGCACTGTTTTATGTCACAAAACATTAAACTTTCACAAGCTGCTGCATCCAGGCGAAAAGCCGAAGGCGCAGCTAAAAATGTTGCAAAACAGACAAATAAGTAAGAGGGGAGATGGTTTGTCGCTCGCTGATAGGAGCGCAGCCTCTCCCCCCCATAATCAGAGGTATGACTGAGGGAAACCCTCACGCATGCGCGATGCGAGACAAGAAGTCTTGCAAAGCAGCGCCACAAGAGGGCGATCTTACCCCATGCAACACAAACTGGCCTGTCTGCCCGCCGTCACTGAGACTGACAAAATGGGCAAACTGCACAAACTCAGAGTGGGTTTTAAAAACAATAAACCGTGGATACCGGCTGCAATTCGCTCTGCCACCTCCACAGTTCAGAGGAGTGATTCAATCACAGACCAGTGGCTTCGCAGCTCTTTTCCTACAAGAGGAGATATCCTCTCTAAAGGAGAAAACAGCGATACAATTGATCCCCCAGGAAAAACGGCAAACAGGTTTTTAATTCAGATATTTCCTGGTCCCAAAGAAAGGTGGTCGAGGGATGCGTGCAATCTTAGACCTTCGGGCTCTAAACAGGCATCTGAAAAAATAGAAGTTCAGAATGCTGACACACACTTCTCTCTTACGTTTCCTGCACCCAGGCAATTGGCTCACATCAATCGATCTCCAGGATGTGTATTTTCACATTCCAATTTATCCACAACACAGGAAATATCCAAGATTTGCATTTCAGGGGAAATGCTACGAGTATCTCCTTCCATTTGGCCTCTCCTTGAGCCCAAGAGTTTTTGTGAAATGCACAGAAGCCACTGTGGCGCCACTCAGGCAGCAGGGGGTTCGTGTAGCCACATACATAGACGATTGCTTGATCGCAGCTCCGTCACAGCAGGAGGCTGCATATCATTCAACGTTGCTCTCAAAACACATGCTGGATTTGGGATTCGAAATAAATGTGGAGAAGAGCATCCTATTTCCATGTCAAAGAATCTCTTTTATCAGTCCGTTTCTAGACTCTGCCCAGGCCAGATTGAAACTCAGAGAGGAAAGAGTAGAATCACTGATGAACTGCATGTCCCTGTTTCACAGGGGAAATTCTGTGTCTCCTCATCTGTGCAGACGATTACTGGGTCTAATGGCCTCAGTTTTGGACGTTGTCCCACTGGGTCGCCTTCATTATGAGGGGAGTCCAAAGTTGGGTGGCTTCTCAGATGGTGGGCTTACATCTACCTACCCCCCACAGAGTGAGGGTCTCAGCCACCTGCCGGGCAGCTCTACGTACACTTCCTAACTCAGGGTGTTCCTATGGGAACTATACAGAGCAGAAAAGTGGTGACCAAAGATGCCTCCCTGTCAGGCTGGGGGGTGGGGGGGATCTTCGAAGGGAAATCAGTGAATGGGACATGTGACAGACACATGCGTGTGTTCCATATAAATTATCTGGAACTGCTGGCTGTTCTCCTGACACTGAAACATTTCCTCCTTTTTCTAAAGGGTCATCACGTATTAGTCCGGACAGACAACACAACTGTGGTGGCATACATAAACCGACAAGGGGTCTAAGATCCCAACATCTTCATAAGCTGGCCCACAAGCTGGTCACTTGGAGCAGCAATCATTTGCTGTCACAATGGGCCACTTATGTCCCAGGAGTGTTAAACCGGGCAGCAGACCTTCTCTCCAGGGGAAACCTTCTGTATGCAGAATGGAGACTTCACCCCGAGGTAGTCAGGATGATTTGGCTGTGTTACGCTAAATCAGGCTTCAGTAGACCTGTTTGCGTCTTGGGAAAACACATAGTGTCCTGTTTTTCTCCCTTCACGACCGGGAAGCACCTTTGGGGGTGGATGCTCTCTACCACCAGTGGCCCCAAGCTCTCCTGTAGCCCTCATTCCCTCCTGTAGCCCTCAATCTGCCGACGATAGCCAGAGTTCGAGCCGAAGGCTTGTCATTGATTCTCATTGCGCCTCACTAGCCATCGAAACACTGGTTGGCAGAGATAATCCAGCTTCTCCGGAGAGAACCATGGCCTCTACCGCTGCGGTGGGATCTGTTGTCTCAGGTGGGGGGGCAATCCTCCACCCAGAATGGCTGGCACTATGGGCCTGGCCTGAAAGTGGTTCAATTTACACTCTGTAGGTCTCCCACACAATGTTATTGAGACAATCCAGAGTGCGAGGTCCCCCATCACCAGGTCTCTGTATGACTGCAAATAGGCCATATTTGAAAAATCGTGTGAAGATGCACAGGAAGTACCCATTCAGTGCTCTGTAGTTACCATTTTGATTTTCCTGCAGGACCTGCTGGATAGGGACAAAGCTTTTCCACCATAAAAGTGTACTTGGCAGTAATCTCAGCTTGCCATGTTGGTTTTGGTGGGAAAACTGTGGGACAGCACCCCTTGGTTTGCTAGTTTATGAAGGGAGTTTGTCGTCAGCTTCCTGTCTCAAAGTCCCTGGCCCCATCATGGGACCTTGCCCTGGTT